AAAGACCTTCACCCCAACCTTCCTAACACACCACACTCAAAGGCTTTCTGTGCATGTGTCAGAAGAGGGGAGGAAGTTACCCTTAAATGCACAGACACCACTCAACATCCCCTTCTGATCAAACTGAGGTTCTACGGCATCCATCCCCTTCTTGTAAGAAAGCAGCTTCCTTGGCATACACAACCACCACAGTGAAGTAAACCACAAAAGTTCACCATTGCATGAACAGCAGGAAAGGCTCAAGACTGAACACAGCTCCAGGTTGTAAATCCAGCACACTAAAATCCTGGTTTTCAGTTACAACGTGTGTGTATGTCTTATTACAGATTTATACCACAGTATAATTCTGTACAGAATTATTGTAATTCTACACAGAGCTCTGCTGGTTTAAATTCATATAGAGATTTTTATTTTTTTTCTCAAATCCTATAGATTGCATTTTTAAACTGCTGGTCTTCATTTTGGAAGCTAATCTAATATCTAATCTAATCTAAAAGGTGGTGCTGAGGTTTGGCATCTCACTGCCCACCCCTGCTGGCAAATGGTGTGAAGCCTGGACCACAGAAAGGCATTAGGAGCAGAAAATGCTCTAGAAAAAGTTATCAGTGCAAGCACATGAACTAACCACAAAGCAAGGACTGAAGGCCAAACACACCCTTTGTGTTGTTCATGCTGGCTATCCCTCCTGGAGGAGAATGCTGTGTGCCAAAAGGACCTGAAATGGGGTTTTGGGATGATGGGAAGAAGGTGTTTTGAATGCTTTGCGATAGCAAAAGGATTGAATTCTCTCAGTTGGTAATGATGGGACGTAAAGAAATGCCACAAAGATGGTTTGTAAGCCTAAGGAATCATTTTTAAATTACTCCAGGAATACAAAGGTAAAAAATACAAGAATAATTTCTACATTCATCAGGTCATTATTAATAGTAAGCCTACTTATATATAATCTGTCCTTAGGATATTGTTTTCCATTTCTGGCAAACCTTATGATCCCCACCCCACTGAGGTGTGTCTATGAGGGTCTGACACACGCCTTGAGAACAGGCCACACATTGCAAGGGATTATACATGCCCTTTACATTCCTTTCATGTATTTATTTCACATTTCTTCTAAGACAGGAAAAAACAGAAAATGTTTAAGCTTGAGCAGTTCTAACACTGAATGCTGGTATGTTAACTGACTTTTAATGCACAGTGTGAACTGTGCTCTTCCGTAATGTGCATTTCCATAGAATCTGATCATGTAGCTCAAGACTCTTATCTTTAAATATGGTATTTTGCCATTGATTTTAGAGCCAGAAATGTACATATAGGCAAAAAAAAAAAAACCAAACCCAAAACAACCTCCTTGCTAACCCCATGAGACACTCTATAATAAAGCAGTCCTGTAGGTCTCTGTTCTTTTGCAGCTTCTATATGAACATGGACGTTGCCACATGAGTTAAGGAACAGACATTGCTAGAAGGTTTGTTTTCTTTCAAAGAGCCATTGATATTCAGAACACCTTTTTGCACAGCATGTTTATCCTTTTACCAGGCTTCCTTCACAACTGTGTTGCAGGAGAAGTTAGGAATTATTAGACATGTATGAAGTTCACATTTTTTCCCCACTGTTTCTCAACTATTTCCAAATTCTTGGAATTATCCTAGAAAATTACTGTGAAAAAGATCAAAGGAACATCTTGAAAAGAGAGAACTGTACCCAATAGCAGACAAAATGATCATATTTATACTTTTACCATGGTCTCTTAGATACTCCTAAAGAGTCAACAAAACCCTGTGTCATTCCAAAACAAGCAGTGCAGCACTGTGGAAGATACTCACTATGTTCATGAGGGTGAGGAGGTAGTTTTGAACATGTTCTTTGCCATGGAATCGGATGACAGAGTCATCCACGCCAAGCAGCACCTCGATGTTGTAGTCGTCATCACCTGCATGCCTGCGTCGCCTCAGGGTGCTGTTTAGCTGCTGCTCCACACTGCTGGATAAGGAACTCAGCTCTCCAAGGCCACCCAGAAGAGACTCTGCAAGAAAATGACAGGCTGAGAGCTGGGCTTGTGCAGCCTGGAGAAGAGAAGGCTCCATGAAAACTCTGAAACAGTCTTCCAATACCTGAAGGGCTTACAAGAAATCTGGAGAGAGGCTTTTGACAAGGGCCTGTAGGGACAGGACAAGAGGGAATAGCTTTAAACTGACAGTCAGGAGATTGAGATGAGATCTTAGGAAGAAGTTGTTCCCTGTGAAGGTGATGAGGCGCTGGCACAGGTTTCCCAGAGAAGCTGTGGCTGCCCCATCCCTGGCAGTGTTCAAGGTTCCTTTCAACCCAAACCATTACTTGAGGAGTTCATCTGAGGATGTTTGAAGCTGCAGAGGTCACTACCAGAGCCTTAAAGTCTCCTCCACTGAAGAGGGTTCTGTGCTTTGGAAGCCCCAGCTGGGGAAGGGCCCCCGGTGGGGA